TGGTAGGGCGTGATCAAGGGCAATGTAACCGAGAGGAATTACTGAAACCCAAATGAAGGCTGAGCATGATAGCGGGACGAGAGGATCTGCGGGTGCGGGAAGGGCGGGCGAGGGGACTCGAACGTTCGGGACGACCCCCGCGGCTGAGAGCGGAGGGCCGAGACCACGACGCGCCAGTTTAAAGCAGGAAAAAACCAAAACAAAACCCCAAACCGGAAACTCACCTCCCGGCGCCTTCAGCTTCCGCCGCCAAGTGCGCGTGCGCGGCTGAGGCACCGTGGGGGCGGAGCCAATCGCCAAGGGGCGGGGCGCGGCGGAGAGAGGAACTCATTCCCGCGATTAGAATTATTTGAACTATTTCAGGAAGGAAACGCTGGGCACGTCTGGGCACGAGACGCAAACCAAACTGTGAAATGCAAAACCGTGCCTATGAAAATGTGCAGGTGCATCAGGCGCCACCCCTCCTCCGCCCCATCAGAGCGCCCTCTGCACGTTTCTGCCCCTCATGGGCCTAGGAGGCCGATTTATGAGACTTTGCTAGTGCCACACCCGGAGTGGCCCTTGTGCCTTGTAAACCTGGTCATTTAGGTCGCCAAGATTTGCTTCACAAACAGCTCTCTCACCGCCATCGAGTGGATGCTGACCTATAGCCACCCCCTGTATGTTTCTGAGACTGTAACTGTTTATGGCAGTAGAAAGCTCCATCTTTCTCGCACACAACGGCTGGTGGTTTCGAACTGCTGACCATAAAGATTGCAGGCCAATGCTAAACCATTACACCACCAGGACTCCATTTCACAAATAGCAATCACTTTTTTTGAAAAGGAGATATACAGATAACTGCCCCAAAGGGTGTCCCTAGGCTATAATCCTTTTTTCTCCAGCTCTCTTCTTCCACCGGGCAGTGGGTGGGATCAAACTGCCAACCTTGGGTTAGCAGCTCAGTGTCTCACCATTTCGTGACCAGGACTCCTAAAGTATTTAATAGGGAGGTCTCTATTTCTTCATATGAGTCCTTAAGAAAATAAAAGTAGGTTATCAAGGTTCCAACGGTCACCCCACATTCAATTATGTTTAAGGCATGATCTGTGAGTTTTTTCTTTGAAGTCTAGGTCCTCCCCAATTCATGGTGCATTTAAATTAATGCAAACCACACTTACTACTGTTCATTTTTTGATTTTGTACATCTTATTGTCACTAACATACTACAAGCAATGCGGCAGTGCATTTGTTGATATTCTCATTCTCAGGTGTTCACTCATGGATGTTCAAAGATCAACTTTATAAAAATACTGATAATAAAAGGCAATAATAATGAAAACATTATTTTAAAGAGCTATTCAATATATATCACGACCAACTTATGGCAGTCATTGAAACAACCTTGTCAAGTGGTTATGTATTGGCTGTGTGCATGGTCAGCAGTTCAAACGACAGGGGCGCCTCGGGAGAAAGACTGAGCTTTCTACTCCCACAAGTTAGTCTTTGGAGACCCAGAGGACTATTAGTCAGCATTGACTCGATAGCAGTACCACATTAGACTGCAAGTTACAAGTGTAGTTTAAAATGGGGCTTTCTACTCCCAACGAAGTCAGTCTTGGAATCAGACAGGGATAGTTCTACCCTGTCTCGTAGATTGTTGAGTTGGCATGACTCGACGGCAGTGTTTTGTGTCACTTACACAAGTAAATATTTCTATACTTAGACATCTATAGCTATATTTAAATGGGCATGAATTCTTGTCTCAAACTCTAAGCCCATTTGTCTTCTTGATGTTTCCACTTCACGTGATAAGCTTAGCTTCCACCATCTGTCACACTTCTTCGTAGTCTTGTCTAAGTGTACAGCAATCAGAACAAAAATTGTTAACTGGTTACCCCATGGAATCACCTGGTCAATAAGGTAGCTGGATACATGTATGATAGTTATTTTGTTCTATTCATTCTAAGGGGGGGTGTCTATTAACTAAAGCGTTTAGAAATGTTGCATCATTAAGGTCTACTCTGTATCCTATGGGTTTTAACAATGTATAATGTCACACATGGTAAGTCAAAAAGTAGTGCTACAAAAGAATAGAAACCTTTATTAAATAAACAAATCAAGCTATTGTTTCTCAACATTTGTTCCATCTAGGTATCTCCATCTCTCCGGCATTTCTCAGTCTTTTACACCATGTCAAAACGTCAGCTTTAGAATCCTTGAGGGAATCAAACCGAGTTCCTTTTCAGTGTTGAGTTCTCGGAACAGAGAGCAGTCTGAAGGAGCAAGATCAGGGTTGTAGTGTGAATGAGGTTTTGAAAGGTCAGGGTTGTAGTGTGAATGAGGTTTCACAAGATCAGAGTTGCAGTATGAATAGGGGTTCCCAATGAAATTTTCATAGCGCAGTCCACTGCCACCCTCAAATGAGCGGTGCATCGCTGAGATGAAAACAAAATAACCCTCTGCACATGTTCCTGTTATTGTTGTGAGTGGTCTTCACTTTTCTCGATACTTCTTCCTACTATGTCCCCAAGATGACCATCCAGTGTGTCCTCTGAGAAAGTCGATCAAGATGACTACTTGGGAATCCCGATGACGTTGCTATAATCTTGCAGGCAGGCTTCTCTACCTTGAACAACACGGGCCCAGCTGATCCCTATCAGACATCACTGTTCTGATAGGACTTGGTGTGCGTGTGCGTGTGTGCGCACGTGTGAAGGCACCTCAAGGACACTAAGACAAGTGTATTTCTAAAAGACCTTGTTTGCAGTCATCCACTAATCACCAAGACATGTTTAAATACATTTTATTTGGAATGAACCTGGGCATGCATTCACTGGAACCCTAGTAACAATACTTTTTACTTACCCTTGTATACCCACCACGATTGTACCAGTATGCCGTTTCAATATCTGGCAATTAGTACCACATGGTTCAAAGCTCCAAGTGTATAAAATACTCTCTTCACTTTGTTACAATTGTGCAAGTAAACTTATAAAGTGAATATGTAAGTTTTAGGTTTGAATTAAAAAAAAAAAATAAGCCAAGTAATACGCTAAGGACTTCAAGCAGACCAACTCTTTCAGTCCTTGAGATAAATTACAACTGCTTTTCATAGGAGGGGAGAAGGCACACAGAATTACTGCATGCAACACTAACTCTAGAGACTGACTGCCTAATGACCAAGGTAAGGTCACACTTAGGGAATCAAGAACACATGGGCACTCGTTGTCCAAAACAAAGACCCATAAACACCAAGCAGACAGGACACAAGGTGAAGCAAGCACTGCACTGGAAAGGAACTGAGGAATGAAAATGGCTTCAGCTGTGGTAATGATATCAGTCCCTTCCATTGCAACAGAAATTCCTTATCTCAGTCGGTGTCTTGGGGGCATATAATTTCTTTTTACAAAAGAAGAGGTGGAGTACGCTGTTGACTCTAACTCTTGGTACATTTACCCAACATGCAACTGGATCCAAGTTTGGGCTGTGGTACTACATAACCGGTCTCTGCTTCATTGTGAGAGAACTGTCTTGTACATCCATGTCTGCTGATCCAGCAACACCAGCCAGGAAAGCCAGCAACACTCTTTGCAGAGACACAAACCCAAGGGTATGCTCTTGCACACTCTTGGCAAACTAATGAGAACTCAGTCCCAGATGGTGAGCAAATGTGAGTGAATCTAAGTTGATCACTGCAATAAAATCAACCAAGTTATTTTTTAACATAAAGCATTTACGAGTAATGTCCTACGCTTTGTAAACAAGATTTATAACTTGAACTTTAAAATGTTTGGCATACACACGAACACAATCTAGCATATGCTTAATACTAACATGGGCAATAATTTAATAGAATACTGTGGAATATTACTTTCATAGAAAATGTGGCTTATGGGAAAGACTTTAGTACCCACAACCACAAAGTTCTAAAATTCAGTTCATCTCATTCTGCTAAGGTGGCACACACCACTTTTATGTTCAATCACTACTATAGTTGCATTAAAAAGAAGTTACATCAGTTCAAATACACACATATATACACATATATATATACACATACATCATATATGAAGAGGCATCAAGAATTTGTGGAAAGTGGAATTGAAAGTTTCTCCCTACAAAGTTCTTGAAGCCCCTAGATATAATTCACATATCATGTTTGAACGCATGAGTAAGCAGAGGAGGGGGCACCACAGATTGCCAGTGCCTCGGTCCTCATATGATTTCAACCAGCCTCAATTCATAAAATAAACGATGCAGGCAGGATTTCATGCTGAGCTTGCCGGTTCAGGGCACATATGCCTACGTACTGATCATCACTGCTCAAGGAGCATAAATCATGAGAGATGATAGTAAATCCCAAAACCATACGAAGAAATACTTCAAAGCAGACACTGGATCTCAGCTGAATCACTAACAGCGTGATTAGGCCATCACTTCTGTATAAAACAATCTGCCACCACAAGCATAACAAGTCTTCACAACTGGGATCAAATCCCTTATATAGTTGATGAATGATATTTTTCCCTATTCATTCATTTTTACCTCCAAATCCTTGCTGACATATTGAGGCTGCCCTACATGAATTTGTCCAATATATTCCCCATATGGGCTAGCAGGAAAAACTTTTTTAGGGCTGCCTGTGTTCTTGTTAGAATGGAGCAAATAAGCAAAACCATACCCAACAAGTTTATACATGTAAAACGTGGCAACTTCCAGAAATGTCTAATTTTACGTCTTTTATCAGACACTGGAGAAAGAGGAGGCTGCCTGCTTCTGCAGAGATTTACACTGTTGGAAAGCCTGCATAGGGCCACTGTGAGTCGGAACTGACTTGATGGCAGTAGGTTTGGTTTCGGTAACAGGAACTTCGTACCACACACTCAGCAACACACATCTAGGACATTCTTCCGTCTTTCCTATCTGGGGGATCTTCTCCTATGTCCTCTATGGTGAGCAATTCGGCTTTGAAGGGGTCAGTTAGGGTAAAGAACTAAAATATGAATAACAGTAAGGCTTTTTTACTGAGCCAGATACAGCAAGCAAAAAGTTCAGAGAAAAAAACTCACCAAGGTTCCCATTAAGGAGATCCCGGATGAGGTACCTTCTGGTTACTCTGGAGGCGAGTGGCTGAGTCCTTGACTGCAATCTCCCCAGAACATGGCACAGCCCTGCCTGTGCACCAAGCGTAGTGGGTGGAGGGAGACTCCTAGTAGGTCTGCCCTACAGTGTGAGGCCTGAATGGTCACACGGAAGAGTTTGGCCAGAAGACAGACTTCAACTTTCCCACCTTGTCAATGCCTGGCCCAGTCTGTTAGGGTTGGGTTCAGATATAACCTTATCATACACTTATAACTTGAGAAAACATTTAAAACTAGTATACCCTGTCACTCTATTCCCTTAAATGCACTCTACTGGGTTATCCCAGAATATAAGCGACTTGAAGTCAGAGTTGAAAAAGAAAATATCCCCAACACAATTCAAATGGATATAGTCATAGTGTTTGACAAATTCCTTTTTGAGTAACATTACTGATCCACGTTTCACTCAAGAAGACATGTCTGGGTGTTAATTTTCACGAAGCTATAAAAGTACCTCAGTTTATCGAAACGATATTTTACATCACTTTTCAACAATCGTATTGTGCAAAGGGGCCAATGTGTGCTCTAGGAACGATCATGCATTAAGATATTTTCATGAGGAAAACTGGTTTCCCCAACCAATCAAGGAGTTGGGAGCTTCCAGAATACATATGCAGTGTTGTTTTCAAGAACCAGAATCCACTTTCTGAGGTCTGACTACGAACAATTCTTATGTCTTCTCCTTCTACAAGTTAATAAAATGTGATTTATGGTCTCTCTTTCGGCACCACGAGAAGTTTAATTCACACATACTTGTATACTCACATTAGCCTCACCCTCTAACCACATAATTCTTTTTTTTTTTTTAAAGCAAATCACCTTCCTTCCCCCTTTCTAATTTGGTAACATTTTTACGTCCCTTGTTGTGTGGGAGTGCTTGTCAACATTCCTAGCAGATTTGGATGGGGACTGTTTGTTGGTGACCTCAGGAAGACACGCTTAAGTCTTCACTGCCAGTTATCTGTGGACACACCCTCATTTGGAAATAGGGCTATAGCAGATTTAATCAGTCAAGATGATAAAGATGATCCTTTCTCTCTTTATAATTGCTTTTTTGTTTGTTTAAAGACCCCGACAGAGATCACAACGAGACGAATAGAATGAATCATCACAAGCCAAGAATGCCAGAGGGCTGGCCACCTCCAGAAGCTGGAAGCGGCAGGGAACAGCCTCTCTTAGCTTCTCCAGAGGGCCCAAACCTGCTAATACCTCGACTTTGGACTTCTAGCTTCCAACACTGAGAATAATATTCAGTGGTTTGAAGCTACCCAGTTTTTGGTACTCTATTAAGGCAGTCCTAGGAAAATCAGAGTTCATCTTGTTCCTGTATATTGGTCACAGTGGAATTAATGAAAATTACTTGAGGTGAAAAAAAAAAAAGAAAATTACTTTAGGTGAATATATAAACACTATATAAAGTTCTTTGTTTACAAGTAAAAAAAACAAAAACTTTCCCACTGTGTACATTAAGGGAAACTCATGAATCTTCATCTTTTTATACTAATTCACTGAACTAAAGATTTAAAGGGACTAGCTGTGTTCATATTTATAGAGCATGTACTTTGTATTTACAATGGCCTTGTGTTTTCACGTAACTTTCAAAAGATACTTTACAGATCTCTACATGTTCCCTAGAAGCACACTTGAATAAAAAGTAAACAAAATATATAAATTAATGTGAAGTGGAGGGAGAAAGTAACAGAAAGAACAAATCTAAATAGAATGAGCAACTCATGGTTATGATTTTGCCACACCTGCTACCGGCTGCCATCAAGTCAGCTGCGACTCATGGAGACCTCACGTCTGTCAGGGGAGGGAGTCCTCTCTCCCAGGAAAGGAAAGAACTGCTGACTTTGCAGAGGTAAATCCCCACCCCTCTCTTCGAAGGTGCCTCGGGGTGGACCTCAAAACCCACGTGCTCAGTGACAGGTGCGTGGTTAACTGTTTGCACCACCCAGGGACTCTGCCACATATTTCACATCTATAAGATTTTGTTCTATAATGGACTCTCTGATATCGAGTGAGAAGTGGGCTTTCCAACATTCATTACATTTGTACCTTTTCTCTCCAGTACGGAGTCGCTCATTAACTGACTGGTATGAATGAATGAATTCCTTACCACACTCATCACATTTGCAAAGTTCCTCGCCAGCATGATTTTTTTGATTTTCCATAAAGCTTGTACTTTGGGTAAAAGTCTGGGCACACTGAACACGCTTACAATGCTTCTCTCCAATATGAATTTTCTGATGATACACAAGGCTCGAACTATGAATAAATGCCTGGCCACATTCATTACATTCATAAGGTTTCTCTCCAGTATGAATTCTATAATGAGTTGTGAGGCTTGAACTCTGAGTAAAGAGCTTGCCACATACATTACATTTATATGGCTTCTCTCCGGTATGGATTCGCTGATGTTTAGCGAAGACTGACCCCCACTTAAATGTTTTGCTACACTGACTACATTTATAAGGCTTCTCTCCAGTATGAATTCTCTGATGTTCCACAAGACTTGAATTATGGATAAATGCCTTACCACAATAATTACATTCATAAGGCTTCTCTCCAGTATGAATTCTATAATGAGTTATAAGGCTTGAATTCTGAGTAAAGAACTTACCACATACGTTACATTTAAATAATTTCTCTCCATTATGGGTTCTCAGGTGGCTAGTAAGATTAGAGCCCCACTTAAAGGCTTTGCCACAATGATTACATTTGTATGGTTTCTCCCCAGTGTGAATTCTTTGATGCTCTACAAGGCTTGACTTATTGATAAAAGCCTTACCACATTCATTACATTTGTAAGGTTTCTCTCCTGTATGAATCCGGTGATGTTTCACAAGGTTTGCTCTTTGGATAAAAGCCTTTTCACACACAATGCATTTGTATGGTTTCTCTCCCGTATGGATTCTTACGTGCTTAGTGAGAACTGAGCGCCAGCGAAAGGCTTTGCCACATTCGCTGCATTTATAAGGTTTCTCTCCAGTATGAATTCTCAGATGATTTGCAAGGTTTGAATTTTGCCGAAAGAACTTGCCACATACTTCACATTTATATGGGGTCTCTCCAGTCTTAGTAATTTTTGATCCACAATGAAAGGCCTTGTCACACTCATTACCTTTGTAAAGTCTCTGCACAGAATGAATTCCCTGAAGATTGGTAAATAATGACCTTTGGCTAAAATCCATCCCATATTCATAATTGTAGAGTTGTTCTGTAAGGTGAGTTTTGGGATGTTGTTGTTTAAGTAATGATGGATGCATGAAAACCTCCCCATATTCGTTAAAGATGTTGGTATTCAGAGTAGGAGGACTTCTTTGAAATGGTAAAACCGAACTATTGTTTGTAGACTTCTCTACTTGCCAACATTCGTACACTTTCTCTCCAGGGTGGTACCTGTGCTGCAGTTCAGACAGGCGTGACTGAAAGCTTAGTTCAATCTTATTTTCAAAGCATGGCATACACTTGTTTCCTTCACGTCTTGTCGTATGTGGTTCCCTTCTAACCGGGGTCTCGTTGTCACAGGTCATAATCACTCCTTTGCCATTTCTTTCCTCATCTCCCCACTGACTCTCAAACTCAGGGGCATTTTGCCTAACTTGCCTGAAGTCAAAATCCTCGATGCCAGGATAGTCAGGTCTTTCTAACATGACTGTCTGCAATAATTTTCCTTCGTTAATGATCTCTTTTGGTGGTAATTCCTCAGTCATACATGGAGAGACATCTAAAAGATATAAAGAACCATTCCTATTAGCTATAGTTAGAAACACATTTTATATTGAAAAATAGTATCCCTCTAACAACAATCCATATGGTGAGCATAACTGTAACACTTCTTAATCATAATCTTCAAAGGTTTATGATACAAGGTTAATAGACCTCCTTATTATAGAAGGAGTAATTACATGTAATTCAAATTACTTTCAGGAAAGTTCATTCAAATGTATTATCATATTTGGATTTCTCTTCATCTCTGCAATGAGAGAGACATAAAATGAGGGATGCTCTTACAATTAGCATTTGTAGATATATAATTATAACTATGAATCAGTGGAAGTCAATGTGCACTTAACTGGATTTAATAGAGAATGCATTTCTATGTATCATCAAGAGAACACAATCAAGATGATTTTTGTTGTTAGCCAATATTAAGTCAGTCCTGACTGATGGTAACCCTGTACAAAAGAATCAGACTTCCATGATCCATAGGGTTGTTACTGGTTGATTTTTGGATATCGGCATTTCTTCCTAGTCTTAGGACGGAAGCGCCACTGCACCTTGTTTAACATCACACCGAGATGCAAGTTTCCACTAACATGAGTGACAGCTGTGCTGTCGGTGGCCTGGAAGGGAATCAAACCTGGGTCTCCAGCATGGAAGGCAGAAGTCTACCACCGAACCACCACTGTCCTCTAAGCAGTCATAAGGAACACATAAACTAAGTGATCAAGAATGTACACCGACTTGTCCAGGAAGGCTGGTGGGAGTCATGGCGGTGAAGTGTAGAAGCAAATGAGGGAAGTCCCACCGAGACCCATATTTAACAGAGGGGTGTGTTAAAAAGAGAGTTGGTCAGTGACAAAGCCGCCAAAAAGGCCAGCGGAATATAGGACAATCACCGGGATCTGAACCCACAGGGAACAAGCCCATCTTCGTATGTTAAATGAAGAATGTAGCTTCCAGACCATTAGATATGTTGTGGGAAATGCAAGCATTACAAGCAACAGTCTTTTTGAAAACGTACATGAATTGCAAGAAACTGGCTAAATTCCTGTACAATAGAAGATATTGCAATATTAGTTTGACATTCTAAGTTGCACACGATGGCACGAGGAAAAAACAATTAAAAATGCAGTAATTTTAAACAAATTCCAACATGTTTAAAAAACATGCTATAATAAAGCAATTTTATATATTATTGAAAATCAATTTAATGAGTTCATATTAAGACAGTAACTTAATAAAAAAACAAACAAAGAAATCAGTGCATTCTCAAGATATCAGAAATTTCAAACTTGAAAAATCCAATTTAAATGGAAATTGTGAACTTTCATGTTGTAGGTACTACTTCCGGTAAAAGTGAAAGGAGTGACTAAGACATCTTCTCACAAATGATAAATGGTTGAGGCAGGAGTCAGAGTAATGAAGAAACATTCCTGATGAAAGCTCACAAGAAATGAATGTGTTTTCCCATGGAGGCAGTTTCCCAGACGATACTCACCATCACCACTGATGCCTGGCTCTACCGACACGAGCTCTTACCTATAGTCACATCTTCGTAGGGTCCCACTTACCTGGGTTTCTCACCGTTTTCACCTTGTTCTCCACAGTCCAGGGTTCTTCTGCGGCGCCCTTCCTCAAAATGGAGATAATATTCATCTCAGAAAGAGAGACTTCTGGTTTCCAGAAAAAAAGAAACATGACGTGCTGCAGAGTTTCTAGGACGCAATCCAAGCTGTTTGTTCAGCTGAGAATATCACCGATTTCTCCAGGGAAATATTTTTATGTTCACTAACTGCTTCCTTGGAAATGCTTAAGGAATACTTAAAATATGCTGACGCCTAGCTCTCTTCTAGGAACCACTAAATCAAAAGCTTAATTTTAAAGTCACAATCTAGCATATATTAAAATCTAGCCATTTGGTTTTGTGCTTAACCAGTACTACACTAGTGTGAGATGTATAGGGTCACGGGTAAAAAAGAGGAAGCTAAGTACCAGATGCTGCATTACAAAATATTTCATTTCTGAATAGACTTGTTATTTCCTCCTAAGAACATAGATTTCATCCAACACAGCAGGGATCTTCAAGAGAGAGACTCACAGGCGAAACAAGAAATACATAAGGGAAAATCCTAATTTCGGGAGAGAAGTTATGCTCACCTAGGGAGACCAAGTTGCTGTAGTTTTCCAACATCACATCCCAGTACAAAGTCCTCTGAGCAGGGTCCAGACAGTCCCACTCCTCCTGAGAGAATTCTACGGCCACGTCCTTGAATGACAGCACTTCCTGTAATAAAAAACACCCCATGAGCAGGTGAGAACCTTCTTTCCCCCCATAAAATAAAGGGAAGCATGAGGATCAATTAGGTGGATGCAAGTGTTCTGACAGATCCACATAAGATATTATTGCACACGTTATATATTGAGTTTTATTTCAGGAAGGAAGGTTTAGCAATTGAGGACATGGCATGGTGCTGTTTGACTTTCTCTTGTGTTAAAAAAAAATAAATAAAGAGGAGAAATCAACTCCAGCCCCAAGGCCGACTGTCACAAGGCAGGGGTTGGACAAGCTTCCCACCTCCATCTTCCTTTATCCTGCTCTAACACTAACTGCCCCTCCCAGGGCACGCTACTTCTCTGCTAGGTTTGATAATCGATTGTAATGGCCACAGAGAATCCAGACAATGCTCACAACAATGTCAGGATCAGAAAACATTAAGGGGAAGCCCTTTTGTCCACGGTGTCTCTCCTCAGTTGTGCCGGCAGACACCAGTGCCCGGTCTCTCAGCCACGTGCTTCCCCCCGGCCTCTGCGCTGCTCGGGCAGTCCACACAGATCCTTTAGTGCTGATCAGTGGCCCAAGGACACCGGACTCTCAGCAAGCCAGCCTCCTGCCTGAAGCTACGAAGCAGTGTTTGTTTCCTGGGCTGAGAAGCCTGCTGCTCTGTTCTGTCGGATGGCCTCAGCTAGAGGCTCCTCTGCCGCTGCCACTTCACACATGTGCTCTGCTACCACCTCTTTTTTCTTGCTGGTCGTGGAAGGCTCTGTTTTTGCTTCTGAGATGGCTCACGCTTACACCCAGCTGAACGGCCAAACTGGCCAATGCCCGAGTTCAAGTCATCTACACCTTACTGGCATGTTCCCACCCAGTCATTTGGTGGGAACTACAAAGACTATCAAGTAATTCAACCTTGCTGCAGTACGAGCCCCTAAAACCACAGTAGTCTGATTTAGCCGTGTTTCACTCCATCATGCCTGGGGCACCAGGAGGGGCCAACTCAACGGCAGCTACCAAATACAATTTTGTTTTCTTCTACTTTTTCCACCAGAGGATATGAAGTCTTCTAAATTGCTAGGGATGGCATTTTTATGGACAATAAAAGAAATGCACAGATGAAAACATTTCCAGCGGGTTTATGTGGAAGTGGTGCCGTTAGATGCTACTAGTTCAGTTCTGACTCAGACTGGTCCCGTGCACAGCACAGCCAAATACTGCCCGGTCCTGCACCACCTGCACAACTGTTGCTACGTCTGAGCCCACTGCCCATTACTTCTGCCACTACAGCCATCCGTCTTGTTGAAGTGCCAACAGAATGTCCCACAGACCAAGGGACATTCGGGCTTCCGGAGGAGTGGAAGCACAAAAGCGGCAGTGTGGTCAGGGATAACAGGGTCCATGCTCAGCCTTTAACGCAGCGGCCCTTTCATACAGTTCCTCAGGTAGTGGTGACCACCCCCAACCATCAAATGATTTTCATTGCTACTTCATCACTGTAACTTTGCTACTGTGATGGACCGGGCGACCCCTGTGGAAGGGTCATCCGACCCCCAAAGGGGTCGTGACCCACAGGTTGAGAACCGCTGCCTTAAAGGAAGGTCAGAATCAAAGTACCATGAAAAGGATGATAAGAGCAACAACTAGACTGTCTGGCTAATTTTTTTCCGATATGCTAAGCAGCCCTGGTGGCGTAGCAGGTACGGTTGAGTTGGGCTGCTAACTACAAAGTGAGTGTTCGAATCCACCAGCCACTCGGCTAGAAAACGGTGCGGCTTTCTATTCCCGTCATGACTTACCATCTCTGAAAAGCTCCAGGGTGCAGTTCTACTGTCCTGAGGTCGTGATGAATCAGAACCGACCTGATGGCAGCGAGTCTGCTTTTAGGGTTCTACCGCGTGCTAACCACTATGCTAAAGGCTTAACGTGGGATAATTTATAGAACATGATGACTTGTGAGAAACTATCGGCTCTGTTAGAGACTAAAAAAAAATGTACTTCAGGTCAAATAGCTAGTAAGTAACAGAAAGAGCACCTGAACCTAGGTAGTGGGCTTGAGAATTGAAACCTAAGGATTCAGGAGATAAGAAACACGTATAACATTAAAGAAAATCTAAAACATGTTCAAGACCAACAGCAAAAGCTGGATGAACAGTTCTCAGAAATGTGTGCATTAATACGCTTTGTATTGTTATCCGACCAACCTTACAGTGTGGAGAAACAACACATGGGAAAGAGCTAAGGCATATTATCAGGTGTCAAAAAATATAAAGTACTTATTCAAAGATGGTATGTCTTTTCTGCAGAACCACAGGCTTGCACTTACATGCACGTGCATACCCACATATACAAAGTGACTGAAATCAGAAGCTGTCTGTGAATGAGTTCTTTTGTATGATTTTTGGTCACCCATTATGTTGCTTATGTGTGCGTTAGCATTTTTTGGCATGAAGAACATGTATAAATAGTACTTGTGAACATTATTTTATCTTGGGTTGTTAGACATATTCTACAAAAATCAGAATACAGAAAACTTTAACTCAAGGCTCAACTGAATACACATCTGCTAAACCACAAAGGCAATTTTATCCATTTAAATTTAGGTATTCGGACATAAAGTAAACAAATGTATTCCAATCTACAGTTGAAAAAAATGATTCGAGATTAGAACATGAATTGATGTTATGCATTAATTTAAGGGACGCATTTTTTAAAATTTTATTTTTTATTATTATTTTATTTTTAAAATTATTTTATTGGGACTAAATTTTTAAAAAGCTATCCAAGAAGGTGAGTCTTAAGGAAATGACTGGATAATTTAAAATCATGCCAAACGAATGAATTCATTAAATTTTTTAAAAAAGCAACCTGCTACTAAGCAGGAAAACTTCAGCAAAGACTGGAAGCCTTTCCCCAGTGCACAGGGTGCCTGAGCCAGCACCAGGAGAAGCGGGAGGAAGAAAACCAATGAACTGGGATCTTTATTGTTCAAAATGGACATGACTGCAACCTTCAAAAAGAGTGTACTATAAGAACTAGCAACAATAATGAAAACAATCTTTTCCTTTAAAGGAAATCCATCAAACCAAGCCTCGGAGTCCAGTACAACCCAAACCAACCCCACAGGACAGGGCACTGCCTCAGAGGGCTTCCAAAGGTTTCTTCTTTTTTTTTTTAATCATTTTATTGGGGGCTCGTACAATTCTTTTTTTTTTTTTCTTCGTACAATTCTGATCACAATCCTTCCATTGTGTGAAGCACATTGGTACACTTGTTGCCAAGGCCACATCTCTCTCCCGTGGAGCGAGCGGCTGGTTTGTTTGAACTGTAGACAGATGTGCATGTAATCAGTTACACATTCGCAGCTGGGCACTTACTTAGTCTCTGTACTAAGAGTTAGAAAACAACTCACAGCTACCAAAATTCTAGCAACAGCCAGCGTTTCCATGAACGCATACAAAGTTTCCAGAAGTTCATGGGTAAATTCCATTATTTTGTAATTCAATTTTTCCACAAGTTTTTGAAGCCCCCTTGTATATCATCACACTAATGTACAAGACTCTTCCATAGCTCTGTAAAGAAACGATTAGACTTTACTGAAGGATGTACCCTGGTTCCCCGAAAATAAGACAGTGTCATATATTAATTTTTGCTCCCAAAGATGCGCTCAGTCTTATTTTCAGGGGATCTTATTTTTCCATGAAGAAGAATACGATACACATTTATTGTTTATTGTTTTATTAAGAGAGACCTCGCACTTCCTGTCTGCTCTGGCTGCACTGCGGCCAACAGTGAGCTGTGCAGCGGCGCCCACTGCTACGGTCCAGAGTCCAGGTAGCTTCAGGGGCCTTATTTTCGGGGAGGTCTTATTTTGTGGGGGTGCCTTATATTTCAGCGAGAGGCAAAACTGTAAGTCAGTCTTATTTTCGGGGAAACAAGGATAGGCACCCTGGTGACACAGTGGTTAAAATGCTCGGCTAATTGAAAGTTTGGCAGTTTGAACCCACCAACCCATTCCGGGTGAGAAAGCGGCAGTCTGCTTTGGTGAAAATCAAACTACAGCCGTGGCCATCCTTGGGGGCCATTCTACTTCTTCCTATTAGATTGCTGAGTTGGCACTGACCCAACAGCAATGGGTTTTCCTGACAGACATAAGGACACAAGCACAGACCGACCAACGTGATTCTTCATGGAGCATGGGATGACTTCCGAGAGGTCTCAGTGAGCGCAGAAATGCAGAGCATCCCACACTCCGAACGAACAGCCGCGACGAAACACAGGATTCGCCCAATTCACGGCAAAAAAGTAGGAGATTTCAATAAAAACATGCCAGATGGGAGCCCGACCAATCCTCCCAGTACCATCAGAGGCCAACCCTGCTTTGATTACCCAGGAAATGTCAGTCAACGCGGGCTTGTTAATTACCCCACTGGGGCTAAAAACAAGTAATCAAACCTTCAAGTCGTCAGTAGCTTATTCAGGATACATCCAGTCATTTAGGAAATCTCTTCCCAGACTTGTTTTCCATAAATTCTGGGCAAAAAGGTCCCATAAGTGAACACACACTGCATCCCAGACATCTGCTATCATTGGCATCTATTATTGACTGTTCTGTTCCAGGCCCAATCATTGATGTTTTGGAACTAGAAACACCCTGGCTCACTTGCTTAGCTTCAAATGCATTATAAACTTAGGCACAAATGGGTTTTCCGGCATCAGTTTCCTTTCCTAGGCATTTCAGCAGGGTGTACCCATAAATGTGCAGCTGCTTTCATGCAAAGCAGTCCTGGAGAAGTACATGGCTGTTATCAAAACGTTCGGTGGTTTGATCCCAGCCGTTGCTCCACAACAGATTCAACAGTCTGAGCCCTTAGAGACTACAGCCTAGCAAAGCACATGGGGCAGCTCTCCTGTTCTATAGGCTCGCTAGGAGTTGGAGAAAGTTGATAGCAACAAGACTGGCTTGGTTTGCTTTGCTTCAATGCTGGTCCACAGAGAGCTGACAGGGCGGCTAGCTTTGGCCCTTACACCCACCCAACTGCCTATCCTCATGAACCCACGCCCCCTCTCCCACCTGAGCCTGGTATGAAGTCCTTCCCATGAAGCTCCCCAAATGGAGTCTCTTCACAAAGCCCCTGTGCCCGAGTCACAGTGAGATGTGAGATGGACTGTGTGGTGGCAGGAGGGGGCAGAAGGAAGGCCCTGAGTGGATGTGAGCCAGTATGTCAAGGAGGGCATGTCAGAGTCAAGAGAAGATGACCACATTCTTTTTTTTTTTTTAGTTGTAAATATTGTATTTTTTAACTCACACAATGTTGCATGAGACATTTGCTAGTTTTAATATAGCCATAGGATTAATACTCTTACGGAGTACATGGGAAAGTGCAGAACTAAAGAAGGAAGTTATCTGAAAACAAAAGCACACATTTCTTAGGATTTAAAAATATTGCACATAAGGTTGAACAGAAATTACTGTTTTTACAAACAGAATGAGGTATTAGTCAATCTCTAGATACAGATGAGTGCAAGGAGGAACCACAAAACACATAAATCCATATTAAAACAAGTGTCAACAAGTAAGAAACAAATATGAAAAGATGTGTAAAGTGGCTATGATTTCAACACTACAAAACCATTTCAACACTACAAAACCAAAGCCAAACACGTAACTATCTCTTGGCAATAGCTCATGGTTTCAACTTACTTTCAACCTAAATGACTACAAGCTTTCCTCTAGCCGAGACCACATTCTTAAGCTAGCATTTTAGGAAGGAGAGGACAGAGCTACCCACGAGGCCATGACAGTTACCTGGAACAGAGCCATTCTGGACACCTCTTTCTTTCTTCTTCCTCCGGGCTTTCTCAGGAAAGATCAGTTTTGAGAAGTCAATCCTGGGTCAAAAACAAGCTGTTAAAAGGTTACAATCAACACATGTCCTTTTGCATGTGCACACACGTGCACTCACGCACTCTCTCTCTCATCATGGAACGAGATGGTCCCTGCCCCAGGAAAACAACAGGTACTTTTATTGCCCTCCCATCCTGGTGAAGGCACTCTGGGTTATAATTAGGGGGCTCTGGGCTGGACTAACCTGCCCTTCAGATGACAGCGCAGCCCCTGACACTCCATGAAGTGCAGAAACCCTCTCAGCTCCTCATTGAGCAGACCCAGTGCTCAATGCTGGAGCCACCGGATCCCTTTAACTATTATCGAGCCTGGGCTCACCCCAGAAGAGCAAGCTCAGGGGGCGGTAAACAAGGCGGGGGAGTGGGAATCAGAAATATATGAAGAAAGGCAACAATGAGAGATTCGAGTAGCGAACAATAGGTGAAACAGGTTGCAGGAATGGGGTTGCATGGTGGTGGAAGAGAACTAGAGCCAAGGAGAGAAACAGCAGAAGAGGGAGGAGGAAATAAACATGGAGCAGAAACTGAAGTAAAATGGGAAGTGTCAAGTTGTTTCAAAGCCTGAGATGATGCAGGTCATGCCGTGAACAGAAGAGGTCCAAGGGCGTGTCCTGGATGTCCCCCAATTCAAAGACCAGGACGTTCAGGGGAAACCAGAAGAGGAAACTGACACAGGATCAGGGGAGAGAGAGAAAACGGAAGTCCACCGCAAGATGGGCATGGAAAGACACCTTTGGTGCCCTGAAAGCCAAGAGAAAAGTGTTTCCAGGAGAAGGGAGTGATCAACCGTGCAACTGCTGCTGATCAAAGGAGGGTTCGATCTGGACATTGGCTCCAGCAAATGCCTTCATCAGCGCAGATGGGCTCTTCCCGAACAACGTTCCAAGTCAGTCCAGCAGGGCCTTCAACAACTGTTAAGGAAGGACAGAGGACCTTGAGGAGAACATCGACTTAGCAGCTCAGTTTAATGCCACAGCAGATCACATCAGGGGAGTGCATGCAGTAGTGCACTACTGCGCTAAACTAGGTTCTGTGCGGTAACAGAAAGCACCACGCACAGCCTGCAAAGCACACCCCGAGAGTCTAACGTTATTTATGCTGTGCTTTTTTAAAACTAAGCTGAAAAGACCAGAACCCGTTTTTAAGTGGAAACCTGTCAAAGAAAACTCAAAACATTTTCCACGAATAGAGAGCAATAGAAAGGTGATGTGAATGCCCCTTGCTAAAGGTGCGAAACTTGGGAGACCTAGCAAAACTAGGTCATCCCATTGGGCTCTGGCTCCCACTACTAGGTACCAAAAAATATTTCTGATATATGACATGCTAGAAAGCACGTAGTTCCTTGTAATCTGATCCTGACACAGAGTAGTTTAAAGGGAAAACAACTTGGAAATGAAAAATTAATGCAGAGACCAAGGTTTAAAAACCTGGGACTATATTACTTTCAGAAATGATGACATGGGGAGGGGGGAAATGAGGAGCTGATTCCAAGGGCTCAAGCAGAAAGAAAATGTTTTGAAAATGATGGCAATATATGTACAAATGTGCTTGACACAACGGATGGATGGATGGATTGTGATAAGAGTAATAAGAGCCCCCAATGATTTTTTTTTTAAAAGGAAGAAATGATAGGAGCTATATGTTTTCCAATATATACCGTATATACTTGTGTATAAGTCGAGTTTTTTCAGCACATTTTTAGTGCAGTTTTTGTGGTAAAATTAGGTGCCTCGGCTGATATTCCGGTCAGTTTATACTCAAGTATATATGGTGTTTCTAAACAAATTAAACAACAAAAAGGTATAAGCTCAATATGGGATAGTAAAAAATTGATTTTTAAAGTTAAATGGATAGAAAGGAAACTCAATCGATTTAGCTCACAGAGCTTGTACAAGCAAGAAGGGAAAACTGTGAGTGTTCCTTTATAAGACATCAAGTTGTGACAGTATATTCTTGCCCCGTTTTCTCTCTTATCCCCAACATTGACCAAGAGGTTAGACAAGGGTGAAACAAAGGAGACAAGTCACCACCCTTGGGCTGATGAGGATTGCAACAGAAGTCTTCTTCAGATGAAACATTCCATGAGCCTTAAAGACAGAAGTTTTGCAACTCTTCTTATAATTTACACAAATTTTAAATTGCCTCATACAGCCACAAAGCATGTCACAACGCAGGCATCCGTTATTCCACTAATTCCCCACTCACTTGGATTTAGGACACCTCCTTTCTCTATGTATCTCTCTCTCACTCTCTCCCAGCCATTTGTCTGTCTGTCTTTTTCCCCCTAAGTTCTGTGCTTCCCCTTCAGTCTCCGCTCATTTTCTTCCAGCCCTGGTGGTAGAGTGCGTTACATATACAGTGAACCCTCGCCACTTCGCGCTTCGACTTCCGCGGCTTCACTCTATCGCGGTTTTTGCATAACAGCGCATGCTCTGTCATGACTGCCACTGATTGGCTCATACTGTACACGCTTGATGCCATAAGTAATATAATAAATAATAAATGATCATTGTAACGT